TTATGAACCCTCTAGAACCCTCAGGTCTTCTGCTAGAGACTTTTTAATTCAACCTACAGCCAGAACTAGACGTATGGTTGCTCTAAGGCCCACATGTGTGGAACATCCTCCAGGAGACCTGAGGACAGCACAGAGTGTTGATAAAGCTGAAGACCGACCCTTTTAGTCGGGATTTTGATTGATTTCATAGCTCTTATTTGTTACTTTTTATTTAGTGTACAGTTTATTACTTCATTTCTTTTTCTGTTTTAGTGTGTTTGTTTTTATTTATACTAGTTTTTGGACTTTGTATGGCTGCGACCTCGGCCAGGTCTCCCCTGAGGAAGAGATTTCTAATCTCAATGGGACTTCCTGGTTAAATGAAGGGAAATAAAATAACATAAATGTATTTATTTTCTATATCTATCTCTGTTTTAATTTTATTTATCTATCTTTCAGAGTTCTTTATTGATAACGTGACTGTGGGAGTGTTTGTTCTAATTTATAGCATTTTTCTTTCTATTATCTGTAAAGCACTTTGTGTTNACCCCAGCCCTAAACCTAATTGGCCACTGACCCTAACCCAAGTCCAATTTGGCTTTAAAACCCTAACCCTAACCCTACCTGAACCCTATCCCTAACCCAGGGAAGTTCAGTTCAGGCCTAAACCTGAACCAAGATTTCAGTTCAGGCCTTATCCTGGGGGAACCCGCCCGCCCTAACCTACTTCGCTCCATTAGAGATACAGCCTTGAAGCCACAGTATTGGGGTTCTATGCTCATGGTTGCACCAGGAAGGGGGGTACAGGAGAACCTCAGTGGGATTTGATTGGTTTTGGTGATGGAAGGATTTGATTGCTCCGTGTGACTAGTGTGAAGTGGATGGGAATGTTTGCTTGGACATTTGGAGACACACTGGGTGGCAGCTAAGGGACGAGAAGAACCTGAAAAAGGATATTTACCTGGGACTTGAAAAAACCTGAAAAAAAGAGGAGATACTTACCTGGGACCTGAAAAAGAAATTTTACTTACCTGGAACCTGTAAAGAATTGGGACTTGTAAGACCTGGAAAAATAGAGGGTACATACCATTAAATCCATAGTTGGAACCTGAAAACCCTGTTGGTGGGTCCCTGCAGTGTATGGACAGTGCATTCTGTCCCCCTTATAGGGGAGGCACTTTCAGAACCCTTATACCTAGCCCTAAACCCTAACCCTGGCCCTAACCCAACCCTAACCCTAAACCCTAAACCCTAACCCCCCCTAACCCTAACCCTAAATCTGAACCCTAACCCAACCCTAATACTAACTTTAGGAGTCCCGCCTCCGGGGGCCTCATCCCGAGCATATGAGCTGCAATATGCCAGGCTAATTCGGTAACTGCATTCTGCATTGTATTATCTTAAGGGACCTTGTTTCCCTGAGATCTCGATTCAGTCTCTAGGGACCTCGTCTCCCTTAGACGTCTAGTGCAGTAGGCTCCAGAGGGACAGTCCTCCCCAGCAGAGCATCTAGAAGGACGAGTCGTTCTCAATTAATTGGAGTTAGACCATTCAGACTTTGTTTGCCTTGTCTCCTGCCCTGAACCCTAACCCTAAGTCTACACCTGGCCCTAACCTTGAACCTAACCCTAATTTAGGGACCCCAGCCCTAACCCTAATTTAGGGACCCCAGCCCTAACCCTAATTGGCCACTGATCCTAACCCAAGTCTTTAAAACCCTAACCCTAACCCTACCTGAACCCTCCCCCCTGGCCCCCGGGATTCAACCAAGGGTTTTGGTTTTTTTTCCCCCCCGGGGGGGAGATCTTCCTTTCTACAA